ATTATTTTCTTTCTGACTTCACTCTGTAAAATAGGCTCCAGTATCATCCACATCATTAGAACTGATTCAAATGCATTCTTTTTAATGGCTGAGTAATATTCCATGGTGTATATGTACCACAGCTTCCTCATCCATTCGTCTGCTGATGGGCATCTAGGTTGCTTCCATGTCCTGGCTATTATAAACAGTGCTGCGATGAACATTGGGGTGCACGTGTCTCTTTCAGATCTGGTTTCCTCGGTGTGTATGCCCAGAAGTGGGATTGCTGGGTCATATGGCAGTTCTATTTCCAGCTTTTTAAGAAATCTCCACACTGTTTTCCATAGTGGCTGTACTAATTTGCATTCCCACCAACAGTGTAAGAGGGTTCCCTTTTCTCCACACCCTCTCCAGCATTTATTGCTTGTAGACTTTTGGATAGCAGCCATCCTGACTGGCGTGTAATGGTACCTCATTGTGGTTTTGATTTGCATTTCTCTGATAATGAGTGATGTTGAGCATCTTTTCATGTGTTTGTTAGCCATCTGTATGTCTTCCTTGGAGAAATGTCTGTTTAGTTCTTTGGCCCATTTTTTGATTGGGTCATTTATTTTTCTGGAGTTGAGCTGGAGGAGTTGCTTGTATATTTTTGAGATTAATCCTTTGTCTGTTGCTTCGTTTGCTATTATTTTCTCCCAATCTGAGGGCTGTCTTTTCACCTTGCTTATAGTTTCCTTTGTTGTGCAAAAGCTTTTAAGTTTCATTAGGTCCCATTTGTTTATTTTTGCTTTTATTTCTAAAATTCTGGGATGTGGGTCATAGAGGATCCTGCTGTGATTTATGTCGGAGAGTGTTTTGCCTATGTTCTCCTCTAGGAGTTTTATAGTTTCTGGTCTTACATTTAGATCTTTAATCCATTTTGAGTTTATTTTTGTGTATGGTGTTAGAAAGTGTTCTAGTTTCATTCTTTTACAGATGGTTGACCAGTTTTCCCAGCATCACTTGTTAAAGAGACTGTCTTGCATCTCTTACTGCCCCCAAACATTCCACTTAGGCAAGTAGACACCACCCCAACTCAACAGGTTCCATGCACACTCATTGTCTACCCCCATGTCTCCTTCTAATCCCCTCTTTCCTCTTATCCACATTCCAGCAACATTCCTCACAGGTACTGTCATGATCTCTTCCTTGACCTTATACCTAACCAGTTATGAAATTTCATCAAATCTATTTCCCAAGGCTCTCAGCCCCCTTTTCTAGAGTCTGGACAAGTAAGGAAGGAAGGAATCCCCTTACATATCCCTATGTTGTGGAAAGAACCAGGAGGTGGATCTTAACTGGGTCGGCAGGTCACCAGGAATGCTGGAGATGGATGCAGTTCAAAGGTCATGCACAGAACAGAATCCAGGAAGGGAGCCAAAGGTTGGCACTGGCCATCATCAGACCTAGGACTGGTGCGGGCACAGAGGGAGGTCACAATCTCAGGAGCAGGGATGGAGTCTATCTCATTCATCTAGGAATTCCTAGAACCTAGCATGTTTCCGGTTCATAGAAGACACCCAGTTAGTGCCCTGTGCTCCCAAATACAAGGCAATTGTTATTTCCTTCACCTTCCATCCCAGACCTTATGTTAAGCAATGCTCTCTCACTTTCATTGTTTTAAACCATCAGGTAGCACTTGGGGAAAATACTAGACAAAAGCAACATCCAGTAACATTGGTTTGGGTTGTCTAGAGAGGACACTATTGCCAAAACTCGGTTTCTAGTCCCCAGTGTCAAATGGAAATGCAGAGACAGAGTTTGGGGTGAAGTAGAAAAGAATAGTATTATTGCTGTGCCAGGCAAAGGGGCCACAGTAGGCTTCCAAACTGTGTCTCCCACCCTGGAGGGTATAGTGAGGACTCTCACAGTGTTTACGGGGCAGGACACAGTTGGCTCATGGGCATTCTTCTGAATGGCTGGTGGTGAGGTACTCAGCAGTCAGCATCATCAACCTTCTGGTTCCAAGCAGTCTGGGGTCTACATGCTGATGAGCAGCCTGCAGTTAACTTCTCCCACCTGACAGAGGTTTTCAGTATCTGCAAAACAGCTCAAAGGGCCTGGCTCAGAATATTATCTATAGTATTGAGGAAAAGCTAAATGTCCCTGAATTTATTGAATGGCTAAAGTAATATTATTTTGCTTTGCTTGACTATTTTCCTTTCTTTCTCCATTTTCTCCCCTCTCTGATTAAATTTACTCTTTGACTTTAGTTTTTCTACAGATAAAAGGCAGGGGGAGGACATGGGTGGAGGTCTATTCTGAGAAGACTTTATAGGGTCCTGCTCAATTGNGCCCAGGTTGGATGCATGAGACAAGTGCTTGGGGCTGGTGCACTGGGAAGACCCAAAGGGATGGGGTGGGGAGGGAGGTGGGAGCGGGGATCGGGATGGGGAATACATGTAAGTCCATGGCTGATTCATGTCAATGTATGGCAAAAACCACTACAATATTGTAAAGTAATTAGCCTCCAACTAACAAAAATAAATGGAAAAATAGATAAATAAAAAAAAAATAGTGACAACACCAAAAAAGAAAAAAGAAAGATTACTACAATCCAGGATCAAACCTGCAGCTCCTGCATTTCAGATAGATTTTTTACTGCTGACCCTCTGGAGAAATATTTTTGTTAACTTTTTACTAAGAAAAATTTCAAGCACGCAGAAAATTGAAAAAATTATATAACAATCCCCAGGATAGCCTCTAATGCATCTAGATTCAACATTCTCCCAAAATTGCTTTATGTATGTGTTTAATTTTGATGAACCATTTGAAAGATAACAGTTATAACACTTCACCCTCCTTAAGCCTTCAGCATGCATTAACAAAGATTAAAACATCCTCTCACACAACTATACAACTACCATCACTCCTAACAAAAATAACAAATCCCCAGAAATATACACTTCCTGTCCACATTTGTTTAAAAATATGTGCTTTTACCATTTTTTTTTTTTTACAATAAAAGAGGATCTAGTGGAAAAACATACAGTACACTTCAGTCTCTTAAGTCCTCTCTCCCACCCTTCATTCTTCTTTCTGCAGCTTGACTGAGGTGTAGTTAATAAATAATAATTGTATGTATTTGAGGTATACAATGTTATTTGATATATGTATACATTATTAAATTATCACCACAATCAAGCTAATTAACATACCTATCATCTCACCTAGCTATGCGTGTGAGTGTATATGTGTGAGATGAGAACACTTTAGATCTACTGTCTTAGCAAATTCAAGTATGCTATACAATATTACTACCTGTAGGTACCATGCTATACACTAGGCCCCAGAATTTCTTCATCCTATCACTGCAGACGTGTACCTTTGGACCAGAATCTCACCATTTTTCCCACCCATGGTCTGGAAGTCACCAGTTTACTCTCTATTTCTGTGAGGTCAATTTTTTTGATTCCACATGTAAGTGAGATCATGCAGCATTTGTCTTCCTGAGTCTGGCTTATTTCACTCAGTATAATGTAATCTAGGTTCATCCACATTGTCACAAATGACAGAATTTTCTTGTGTGTATGGCTGAATGATATTTACCGTGTGTGTATACACAAGCCACATTTTCCTCATTCATTCATCCTTTGATCAACAGACTGTTTCTATGTGTTGGCTATTGTGAATAATGTTCCAATAAACATGGAAATGCAAATATCTCTTCAACATACTGATTTCACTTCCTAGGAATATACACCCAGAAGTGGGATAGCTGGATCATATAGGAGTTCTTTTAATTTTTGGAGGAATCCCCACACTGTTTTCTATAATGATCGTACCAATTTACATTCCCACCAGCAGTGTACAAAGTTCCCCTTTCTCCACATCCTTATCAACACTTGTTACCTCTCTCTCTCTTATTTTGTAATAACAGCCATGTCTGCACATGTCAGGTGATATCTCTTTGTGACTTTGATTTGCATTCCCAGATGATTAGTGATGTCGAACACATCTTCATGTAAACTGTTAGCTATTTGGATGTCTTCTTTATCTGTTCAGGCCCTCTTCCCATTTTTAATTGAATTGTTAGAGTTGTATGAGTGCCTTATGATTATTAACCCCTTATCAGGTGTGATTTGCAAATATTTATTTATCTTATGCGGTTTGCAAATATTTTCTCTCATTCTGTAGGTTGACTTTTCATTTTGTTGATCATTTCTTTTGCTGAACAAAAATTTTTGGTTTCATGTAGTCCCACTTGTTTATGTTTTGCTTCTAAAAACCAAGTCATGGGACTTCCCTGGTGGTCCAGTGGATAAGAATCTGCCTTGCAATACAGGGCATGCAGGTTTGATCCCTGTTCTGGGAACTAAGATCCCACATACTGTGGAGAAACTAAGCTTGAGCTGCACAAGTGCACCACAGTGAAAGATCCTGCAAATAGACAAATAAAAATTGAAAAAAAAACCAAAACAAAACAAAACACAAGTCAGTTGTCACATAGAAAGTCCCACATTGTGGATTATCTCATTGTCTCCTCATGAAGTTATTTACCTGATATTTCTTGTAAAATGGAATTTAGATATTAGAGTTTCACTAAATTCAGCTTAAATATGTCATCAGTATATTGAATATTACATCATGATAAGGGTATAGAATGGTGAGTTGTCCTAACATCTCTGATGTAATTTGATTACCTGATTAAGATTGTAATCCCAGGTTAGTGATTAAGGAGTAATTTACAGGGTGATACTTTGGTATCTTGCAAAAACCCTATTCCTCACTAATTTTTCATTTAACGGATTTAGAATCTGTTCATAATTTTTGCCTGAATCAATTATTTCTTTAGGAGTTGTGGAATAAAATGTACATTGCTGATTACCTTCTTCGGTGATCAACTTCCAATTTTCTCCAAGTATTTTCATAATCTTAAATGTGCTCTTTGACATGTAAAAGATTGAAAGTTCAAAATTTTCACTATCATGGTTCATTGTAATGGAAGAGTGCTAATTTTCCATTTCCATTTGTCTTTTCAGCAAAATGGAAATTCAAATTTTTGCAAGCCATTTGTGGAATCCTTTGAGGAAGCACCTCTTCATGTCATGGTTTTCACTTACTTGGGATATGGAATTGGAACGCTGTTTGGCTATCTCAGGGACTTTCTGAGGAACTCGGGAATAGAAAAATGCAATGCAGCCGTGGAGAGAGAAGAACAAAAGGTACGCATGAGCAGCTCCCTGAGTCTTTGTCCATGCCAATTCTTCTCTGAAGTCTTCTCACAAGTGGTAATGCATGTACAGATCCTGAGAAGAGTGATATGCTCAGCAACTACTCAAGGCAAATTCTATTCTCCTGCACCCCGTAAAACCCCCCAAGGTTACCCATGTATTCATGGACTTGTTTTCTTTACAATATTTATTGAGCAATTACTAGTAGCCAGGCTAAGCCAAAGGTTTCCATGTACATTACCATAAATATAATTTTTAAAACAATCCCATGAGATAGATATCAAAATAGCATATTAGAGGTGAAAAGTCAAAATAAGAAAGTGAGAGTATGAATGGGACTGTATTCTGGTCTTCTAGTTGTAAGCTGAGTATTATTTATATTCTATCCTGGAATAGGAAAGTGTGCTTGAGTGACAGGTGAGACTTTTATTTCACCTAGGTCAGAGTTTCTCAACTTTGGAACTACTGACATTTCAAACTGGATTATTCTTTGATGTGGGAGGCATTGCAGGATTTTTAACAGCATCCCTGACCTTGCCCCACAAGATGCAATTAGAACTCTCCCACGTACTTGTGACAATCAAAAATGTCTCCAGACATTGTCAAATGTCTTACAGAGTGGAATATCACCCTCAGTGTAGACCCACTGACCTGGATATTTTCAATAGTGAATGTTTAAATGTCTGCATCATCTCCTTTTCACATAGAGCTAACAGGACAACTTGGAAAATATACAGGAATCTGTGAAGAGCCTCTGTCCTTTTACCATGTCTTCCAAAATTGGTTCAAATGATATACGATGCCATGAATCTCTTTTTCCTAAAACTTGCTTTAAAATATACAATTGTGGCTGCAGATTATTCCACATGATGGAGCCTTGAACACATCTAAGTAAAGCATCAATAACACATGTAATAGGAGAATCTCAAATCCTATAACTTACTGACTAGTAAAGCTAAACTCTTATTATAGCAACATAACCATGAACAGGTCATGTAGAACACTTATTTTGAAATTACCAAATTGGAATTAAGTTAAGCATATTTCAGGGGAAAATCAGGCCCAGTTTGACTGTTGAACTCTCTCTTACCTTTAGCAAGTATTAAGTCATATGTTCTATACCGAGAGCATGCATACTATGTCGCTTCAGTCACGTCAGACTCTGCAACCCCATGGACTGTTGCTGGCCAATCCCCTCTGTTCATGGGGTTCTTCAGGCAAGAATACTTGAGTGGGTTACCATGTCTTCCTCCAGGGGATCTTCCTGACTCAGGAATCGAACCCACATCTCATGTCACCTGCATTGGCAGGCAAATTCTTTACCACTAATGCCAACTGGGAAGCCCCTATACCAAGTAATGGGGACTAATAGAGAAGAAAATATAGGTCCTTCCAGCAGAAAATTTGAAGTCTGGTATGGAAAAAAAGACTCATGAGCGAAGCAAATGATAAAAAGTGATGAGGGGGAGGAAGTTGATGTGGGAAACAGGGATCTGTGCCCTGTGATTCTCTTAGGAAGTTAGGAAGGCGTTATGCTGTGACTTAATGGTGAGCAGGTCTTTGCCTATTGGGCAAGGTACAAAGGAAGACACTCTAAGAGGGCTGCTTCTGTCAAGCAAGTCAGATTCATTTGGAGTGTGTATTTTGTGCCAGGCACTATGGAACAGTCTGGAAATATAGAAATAACTAAGGCAGATAATGGTTTTGGAGAGCTAACCACAAAAGAAGTAATTGCAGTGGGATTTGATAAGAGGTACCAAAGAGGGAAGTAGATGACATCACGGAGGCAAAGGATAGAAACATTTAACCTGGACTTGGTGTTCAGTGAAGCCTGCTGGGGGAAGAGAAACTTAAATTGACATCTAAAGACTGAAAAGTAAGTAATAAGGCAATGAATGCGGCAAGATGAGCTGGAAGGAGTCTTCAAGGAAAGGAAATATGGTGTGAAGTGGCCCAGAGATAAGAGAAAGCATTGACCATTTAAGAAACTGAGGAATTCTAATGATCAGAATGTTGTGAGAGTGGGATTACGTGGGAAGAAAGACTGCTTGAGAGGCAAGCAGAGACCTTATTATAAGGGGTTTTTATAAGCCATAGACATTTGTTATAAGAACAATGGGAAGGCATTGAAGGATTTCAGGCAGAGGAATGCAGATTTGCAGATTAGAAAGATCATGTTCACTGCAATGTAAAAAATGGATTGCAGGAGGACAACACAGGCACCAAAAAAAAAAAAAAAACCCAATGAAGAGGCTGAGGCAGAAGTCCAGGTTGATAAAAATTCTAGATGATACCTTGGGCTGGGCCCAGGTTAGTGGTAGGTGATGAGAGACAGGCCAAGAGATGCTTAAGGGTTGGAATTAGGACTACCCCACCAGAGAAAAGAATGAACTCATTTCCATTTGCAGTAGCATGGATGGACCTAAAATCTATCATAGTAAGTGAAGTAAGTTGGACAGACAAATATCATAATATAACTTATATGTAGAATCTAAACAAATGATACAAATGAAGTTATTTACAAACAGAAATAGACTCACAGACATAAAAGACAAACTTATAGTTACCAAAGGGGAAATGGAGAGTGGAGGGATAACAGAGGAGTTTGGGATTATCCGATATACACTATTGTATATAAACTAGATAAATGACAAGGACCTACTCCATAGCATGGGGAAGTATTAATATAGTCAACATCTTGTAATAATCTATAATGGAAAAAATCTGAAAAAGATTATTTATCTAATTAGAGAGAGAGATCTATATCTATTCTGTATAACTGGATCACTTTGCTATAAAACTGAAACTAACACAACATTGTAAATCAACTATACTTCAATTTTTTTAAAAAAAGAAGTAGAGTTAGGGATGATTGATTTGACTTGGGGAATTACAGAGATGTACAAATCAAAGCCCACACTTGGGCTACAACTTGGGCAACTGGATACAAAGAAGGCAGTATCACATTGAGATGGGGAATAGAGAAGGAAGATGGAGTTGGAGGGGAACGTGATCAATTCACTTTGAAACAAGCTGAGTTGAAAGAATCGACAGCCAGATATAGAGGTCTAGACCTCCAGAGAAAAGTCTGAGATGGATGCTGTAGCATCTTCAGTACATCTGGAGCATATTACATTAATCAAAACCATAGGAGTGGATGTGACCTCCCAGGGAAGGTCTATGGAAGAGAAAAAGGAAAAGGGTGTGAAGAGGACAGAGAACTTTAGAGAATGTTATAAGTGGCAGAGATGGAATTCTGACTCAAGACTAGAAGCAATGTGACAATAAAAATCCTTATAATAGTCTAGGAAGGAGATAATATGTGCTTGAGTTGGGGAAAAGGCAGATGGAATGAAGAAAAGGAAGTTGGTTATAAAGATATTTAGGAGGTATAATCAACAAGTCTTGGTTGCTGAGTATATGGAAAATAAGACAGAGGAAGAAACCAGGATAATCTCAAATTTCTTCTTTGGTCAGATACAGGAATGGCAGCAGCACACCCATCACTTGAGGACTGAGTTAGTAATACTAAGTGAAAAGATTTTTGAAAAAAAAAAAAAAAAAGCAAAATCTCCCTCCAAAAGAGCACCAAAAAAATCTCAGACCCAGAGCACTTGCTATCTCAACAGACTTGATTAATAATCAAGACAGTAACAAGGAAAAAAGACAATACAGACAGGTACAAGGTTTCAATATTTTGCTTCAATTCTTCTTTTAACCATTTAAAGGCAACTTCAGAGTTGAATTGCAATGTATTAAAGATCTCCGGCTATAGTACTTTCTCAGTGATATCACGGCCCAATTTTGCTAAATCCAGAAGAAGATGTCAGAAAATATAATCAAAGGCATATCAAGCATTGTAAGGGATTTAAAAAACTTCAAGAACAGCTGCGTGTCTCAGTCCCTGTGGCCCCTGCTGGTATGAGACTTATCAGTTGCAATACCATGTTTCCGTTAGACCCAGGTAATCCCAGAGCCCTACAAGTAAAGCCCAGATATTTCTGGTTCATCCCCAGAGATTTTTACTCCCACATATAACAAAAACATTTCAGCAAACTGTAACTAGAAAATCTGGACATAAATCTCCAAATGTTTGCATGAATTAAAGCTTACTCTTTCTTATCCATACTTGGCAATTCTAAAACAACAGCAGGATTGGCGCAGCGTGACTTTCTCCTGAGTGTTTTGAAGGATGGGGTTCAGGAAGGTCACTGGGTGTGAGGCATGGTTTTGTCCAAAGCAAACAGACAGCCCAATGCTGGGCTTCCTGTTTGGGTCTGGGTGGGTTCAAAATGAGAGAGTTTCCCTGGGAACCCAACGTATTAGCCAGCAGCTTGTGGGGTGGGAACGGTTCAGTCCCTTCATTCTCTTCTCAGTTAACAACCAACATGATCTTTTTAAACCTAAGTCGGTTCACATGAGCATCTCTGGCCGAAAGCCTTTAACACTTTCGTTTCTCGCTCAGAGTAAGAGCCAGAACTGGTCGAGGTGCTACAGAACCGCCCCCTCGATGAGCCCTGCCCCTGCTCCACAAGCCTCTTCCTCTTCCTCAAACACAGCCCCTCACACCTACCGCAAGGATTTCTCCTTTGCCTTTCCCTCTGCTCAGAATGATCCTTCTTCCTTCAGGTATCAGCACAGCTCACCCCCTCACTTTCTTCATTAAATCCATGTGGAAATCACCAGCTTTAAAGGCAGCAGGAGTCACCAGCAGTGGTATCCCCAGACTCCCCAACCAAGCTTGGTTCCAAATACCTCCTGGCTGCTTCTCAAAAGCAAATGCACCCTCACAAGAAAGGCATATTTTCCACTATTGCGTCTAGATTTGAGAAAAAACTCCAAAATCAAAGTTTGAGAAATAGTTTGTAAAATAAGACCATTAGTAAAATCAGATTATAACCACCCACAGTGAGTTTTCAGGTCAACATTTATTTTGTTGTTGTCGTTCCATGTTTTGTTGTTGTTTAGTCTCTAGGTCGTGTCTGACTCTT